TTGGCAAAACAAGTATTTTTGGCTTCAATCATGTTTATGTTTTTGGGGAAGTTCTAGTTTTCCTCATCAACTTTCTAGAGAATGAGTGTGTATTTTTAAGTATTTGGTACTAGTACAACACTGCTACACCGCAATCCCAAGCATGTTGGGGTCAGCTATTTGGCAGAAAAAATTATAAAATATTGTTTAGTGGAATTATAGTTCCTCGTATTCCCATGACTTGATTTAGAAGCTGAAGGAATTTAATGAAAACAAAGTTAGCTATCATGCTTCATGGAACTGTTTTTTCGTTGATCGCCACATTGTTGGTTTAAGTAAATTATGCTATTTTATTCCTCTTTAGATTTAGAAGTAACGAAGAAGTTGTTAGATAGTTATGTGAATATATATAATTAGTCCTAGTCACATATGTAATAAGAGTAGGTTATGTATTGTGTATACTTATAAATATAGCTCGTTGTAACATAGTTAAGAATATCAATAATATATTTTTCTTCCGTACTTTCTCACATTGTATCAGAGTAACTGTGAGAAATTTATCGCTGTGCATCAATTCCAGCGACTCCGGGAAGAGAAATCAGCCAACTAGAAGCCTTTTTTCCGACCAAAACAGGTCTGTCTGCAAGAAGAATATTATCCATCAGTGTTGTGCAAAAACCAACACCACTACGAAGTAGATCAGCCTCCGGCAACCAACCCTTAAAAAATTCTCCAGTGGAAAATCACCCACGTACCCTCACGCGCCGCCTAAAGATTTTTTCCGGCGAAGTTCCGACGTCCACACGCCGGCGCGTGAGGCTATTTCCGGCCAGTTTTTTGCAAAACTTCTTTTGGACAGTGAGTGTGTTGCTCATGCAATTCCGAGCCTACACATATAAGTTACATCAAATTCTGACAACTTTTATCTTTTCCGACGTGAACAGTGCACTTTTTCTGGCGTGAACAGTGATTCCGGTGTGAATAGTGCTTTCCCTGTTGTGAATAGTGTTTTCCCAGACATTTCTTCATTTTTCACTATTTCAAGTGAAGAACTTGGTTTCTAGAGGCCGTCTTTCCCTTTCCATCTCCATCTAACTAAGGGGAAAAAAGGAGAGTATCCAGCTTAACTTGTTCTGATTTGGCATTCTAAGGTTAACCATATAAGTTTCAATCAAGAATTTGAGAAATTAGTTGTAGCGAAATGGGATGTAATACTATGAATGGTTGGATGGTTTCTCTACCAGATTATATTGAGTTCCTTTAGTACAAAGCATGCAAACAAACATCTTCAGAGTCCGTTGTTCAAACATGTAATATTGTGACTTGCGTCTCCCAATTTTCATCCTCCGATTCTTGGGTCATTGATTCAGATGCTTCTGATCACATCTCTGGTAACAAATCTCTTTTCACTACTATTTTATATTCTCAATCTTTTCCAACAGTCACAATGACCAACTGGTCTCAAACCATGACAACTAGAATAGGTCAAGCAAGTCGATTTCCTTCTTTACCTTTGAATTCAGCTCTTTATGTTCCTATTAGTCCTTTTAATCTCATAACCGTTAATCGCTCAGCCAAATCACTTAAATGTTCTGTTTTATTTCTTGATGACCTTGTTTTTATACAAGAACACAGTACAGGGTGGATCATTGGTATCAAACGTGAATTAAATGGACTTTATTACCTTATCCTTGCTAAATCATATTTACCCACATCGACAACTTGTTCTGTTACTGATTCACCAGATTTATTACATAAACGGTTGGGACATCCCAGTTTATCAAAACTTCAGAAAACGGTACCTGGTTTGTCTCACTTGTCCACTCTAGTGTGTGAGTCATGTCAGTTCGGTAAGCATACTCGCTCCCATTTCCCTCAATGTCCTGATAATCGAGCAGAGTCACCTTTCACTTTAGTCCATCCAGATGTTTGGGGTCCTAGTCGGGTCAGTTCTACCTTGGGATTTCACTACTTTGTTAGTTTCATTGATGATTATTCGAGGTGCACTTGGATATTCTTGATGAAAATCGATCTGAGTTGTTTTTTATTTTTCAGACCTTTCATGCTGAAATCCATAATCAATTTGGGGTTTCTATCCGCACATTTCGTAGTGATAATGCCCCAGAGTATTTGTCCTCTCCATTTCAGCAGTTTGTGAACTCTCATGGGATCATTCATCAAACATCTTGTCCATACACACCTCAACAAAATGGAGTAGCAGAAAGGAAGAATAGGCATCTCATTGAGACTGCTCGTATCCTACTCATACAATCTCATGTTCCGTTGCGTTTTTTGGGAGATGCAGTTCTCACATCTTGTTATCTTCTTAATCGTATGCCATCCTCAACTATCCTGAATCAAGTTCCATTCTCTGTGTTGTTTCCTCACTCACCATCGTTGTTCTGTCTTCCACCTCGCGTCTTTGGGAGCACATGTTTTGTTCATAACCTTACTCTAGGAAAATATTAGTTAGCTCCCCGTGCTTTTAAGTGTGTATTTCTAGGTTACCCGAGAACGCAAAGGGGTATTGATGCTACTCATCCGACCTCCAGCAGTGCCTTATGTCTGCTGATGTTACTTTTTTTGAAACTCAGCCATACTTCACAGGCCTAGGTGGTCACTTAGACATTTCTAAGGTGCTACCAGTTCCATTTTTTGGAGATTCAGTCACTATTTCCCCTCACCTTCCTCCACGACTCCATCACTTACAACCCCAACTCTAGCTTCAGCCCCACCACCTATCGCTCCTCCTACATTCTAAACCATAAAAGTCTTACCTATACCAACCGTTGAAGAATCTAGTGTTGCTCCTCCTAGATTCCCATAGGAACACCACTTTTGACTTATCGTCGTCGTCCGCGCCCAGCATCAGGCCCAACCGATTCACGTCCTGCACCTAACCTTGCTCCTACTGCGGACTTGTCTCCTCTTAGTCGGTCGATTGCACTTCGGAAAGGTATACGGACCACACTTAATCCTAATCCCCATTATGTCGGTTTAAGTTATCTTCGTTTGTCATCACCCCATTATGCTTTTGTATCTTCTTTGTCCTCTGTTTCTATCCCCAAGTCTACAAGTGAAGCACTGTCTCATCCAGAATGACAACATGCTATGGTTGATGAGATGTCTTCTTTACATGTGAGTGGTACTTGGGAACTTGTTCCTCTTCCTTCAGGTAAATATACTATTGGTTGTCGTTGGGTGTATGCAGTCGAAGTTGGTCCAGATGGACAGGTTCTTAAGGCCCGTCTTGTTGCCAAGGGATATACTCAGATATTTGGGCTCGATTATAATGATTTTTTCTCTCTTGTGGCTGAAATTAACATCAGTCCGCCTTTTCTTATCCATAGCTACTGTTCGCCATTGGTCTCTCTATTAGTTGGACATTAAGAATGTTTTTCTTCATGGTGACCTTGAGGATAAAGTTTATATGGAGCAACCACCCGGTTTTGTTGTTCCGGGGGAGTCTAGTGGCCTTGTATGTCGCTTGCGCCGGTCACTTTATGGTCTAAAGCAGTCTCCTCAAGCTCATTTGATAAGTTCAATATAGTTATCCAAGAGTTTGACATAGCTCGTAGTGAAGCTGATCACTCTGTATTTTATTGGCATTCTGTTTCAAATCTCTGTATTTATCTGATCGTTTATGTTGACGATATTGTTATTACCGGCAATGATCAGGATGGTATTACTAAGTTGAAGCAACATCTCTTTCAAAATTTTCAGACTAAGGATCTTGGCAGATTAAAGTATTTTTTGGGTATTGAAGTTGCTCAGTCTAGCCTCAGGTATTTGAAAGTATGCCTTAAGCATTCTTGAGGAGACATTAATGGCATGTTGTAGACCTATTGACACTCCGATGATCCGAATTCTAAACTTTTGTCAGGACAGGGGGGAGCCGTTCAGCCGCTCTTGCGGCTGGTTGGTAAATTAAATTACCTCACAGTGACTAAACCTGACATTTCCTTTCCTGTGAGTGTTGTGAGTCAGTTTATGAATTCTCCCTGTGATAGTCATTGGGATGCAGTTGTCCGCATTCTTCGGTATATAAAATCAGCTCCAAGCAAATGATTATTGTTTGAGGATCAAGGCCATGAACAGATCGTTGGATACTCAAATGCTGATTGGGCAGGGTCACCTTATGATAGACGTTCTACGTCTAGATATTGTGTCTTAGTAGAAGGTAATTTGGTGTCTTGGAGGAGTAAGAAACAAAATGTGGTTGCTCGGTCTAGTGCTGAAGCAGAATATCGAGCAATGACTATGGCAACATGTGAACTAATTTGGATAAAACAGTTGCTCAAGGAGTTAAAATTTGGTGAGATTAGCCATATGGAACTTGTGTGTGATAATCAAGCTGCTATTCATATTGCATCAAATTCAGTGTTCCATGAGAGAACTAAACACATTGAGATTGAATGTCACTATGTATAAGAAAAGATACTCTCAGGAGATATTGCTACAAAGTTTGTGATGTCGAATGATCAGTTTGTAGACATTTTCACCAAGTCCCTCACTGGTTCTCGTATTAGTTACATATGTAACAAGCTCGGTACATATGATTTATGTGCACCAGCTTGAGGGGGAGTGTTAGATAGTTATGTGAATATATATAATTAGTCCTAGTCCCGTATGTAATAAGAGTAGGATATGTATTGTGTATACTTATAAATAGGGTTCGTTGTAACATAGTTAAGAATATCAACAATATATTTTTCTCCCGTGCTTTCTCACACACCTAGACCCCACGGTGTGGGATATTACTGGATATGTTGTTGTGCTTTCTCACACAAGTAATAGTTGAAACTGTTTGTTGCTTGCTTTACCTTTTACCTACTATGTGGGAACACTTTCTAGATCATCATATGTTGCCCTTTGTAAGGATGATCGCCACATATTGATTGTACAAAATGGAGTTGGTATTATGTCTGTCTCCTTATAATATACTGAAAACTTACTCTCAGTGGATGAATCTATATCATCTGACTTTCTGTTACTATCTTTTTGATTACTGTATGTGGCAGGGCTCCATCAGGACTTGGTCATTCCAGTAACGAACTTTCATAATGAAGACAAAGGTTTTATGTGTTTGGCTGGGGATGTTTTTGATGTGCCAATTAGGAAAGATATTATTCATCGTGTTGTGAGATGGCAGCTAGCAAAACGACAGCAGGTATNTGTGTATCATTTAAATCATCAGGGCCTCCTATTTTTTGAGAATGATAACAATTTTCATATAACAGGGCACTAAAGCTGTACCAAAGCCATATTTACCGGAGGAAAAGTGAAAAGAAAAGAGGAAAAAAAACATATATCCTATACAACTTACAAGGATTCTAAAATCTCTAGGATTAGATTCAGTATTGACTGTAAATTCCTTTTTACACCAAAAATAAAATAAAAAAGGGCATTCATCTTGATCTTCTGAATTGGGCTGCCTGTACCCTCAAAACATCTTTAGATTTCTTTCTGTCTAGATAGTCCACCAAATGCATGGTGGTATCATCTTCCATCTGCTTTTCTGTCTGGGAAGACCGCCTCCCCTGTTCCAGCATTTAAGCAATTCCAAGGAGCTTTTTGGCATTGCCCAAGAGAGACCCCTCATACACAAAAAATATTCCAGATTTGTGAGGTAACCTCACAATGCAAAAATAGATGGCAGTTGGTCTCAGCCTTCCTGCCACATAGATGGCATCTAGAGCACAAAGGAAAGCCTCTCTTCATCAGATTTTCTTCTGTTAAACAAGCCTCTTTTATCACTAACCACGAGAAACATGCCACTTTGTCTGGGATTTTGACTTTCCATATATGTTTCCATGGCCACAGTTCTAGCTGAATTGGAGCTTTGTTGAGAGTCCCATAGGTAGCTTTGACTGTGAAGATTCCCCGACTGTTGCTCTGCCTCCATAATCTGTCTTCCCTTTGTTCTGTGCCCTTGAACTGTCCCCAAGCACCTCATAGAAATTAATTATTCTCATAATTTCCCAGTCATTAAAAAATCTTCTAAAAGTTAGGTTCCATCCTTGATGGGTCCAAGCTTCTCCAATTTTACATCCATGTTGTTGACTTAGGATATAAATATCTGAAAAAAGAATCTTTAAAGCTCCCTGTCCCAACCAATTATCCTCCTAAACATCAGGGCCTCCTATTCTCCCACCTGCTTTCTATCTTTATGCTTGTTCCCCTGATTCTGCAAGCTTTGTAAATTATAGTTACTTGCCAAGGCAGTAGAGGATTCAAATAGCGTTGTAGACCTTCTCTTGGTGAATGTTGCAGGGAACCCATTCAACTAAAACTATTAGTGAAGTTAGTGGGACCGGTAGAAAACCGTGGAGGCAGAAGGGCACAGGACGAGCGAGGCATGGAACACTGCGTGGTGCTCAGGTAACATTACCTTGCCTTTTTTCTTGTTCAGATTTTCTTGAATTCATAACAATTTACGATGACTTGATATATCGCTTCAGAAAAATTATGATGGGTTTTCATGATCACTGCAGTTTCGAGGTGGTGCAACTATGCACGGTCCAAAGCCACGAAGTCACGCAATCAAACTGAATAAGAAGGTTCGGCGGCTAGGATTGAAGATTGCACTATCAGCTCGTGCAGCTGAAGGGAAGGCAAGCCACACCCCCCTTCCACGCACACATTATTTTTTGTTTGGGAACTTTTCCTCAAAAGAACCGTGGAACAAAAAGAAAGCAAAATAAAATAGAAACTGAAAGAGTAAATGATGAGTCGTTGAGATGTTTTATCATTTTTGAAACCAAACAGCAATGTGAGATCAACTTAACAAAAAAATAAAAATAAATAAAGGCCAAAACTTGCTGTCTCATTCTGTGTTGCTCGGATTCTCCGAAATGTCACCGGGTGCGTTTCAAATCCTCCAAAGTAGTGCATTTTTGGAGGATCCGACACGGGTGCGGCAGCATTTTGGAGAGTCCGCGCAACATAGGTCTCATTTCCTTCCTCTTTTCGAACTTTTTTCCTTTTGGTTATTCTAGAGTGTGTTTAATAGAAAAAAATGTTTAAGTGGTTTTAATCTGTTAGTAATATTTACCAAAATGAAAGCAACCAAATAATTTAGAAGTGAAAGCTACCCAATAGTTATCAAGGCTTCATCGATGTTTTCTTAAATGCAATTGTTTTCCAATTCCCAAAATCAAATCTAGAAATACATATTTTTCTGGAAATCAAACTCAAAGTCAAATCTAAGCTAGCGTTTGGACATAGATTTGGTTAAAACTTGAAAAAAGAATTTTCGAATTTGTGTTGAAAAATAATTTTTGAAAGTTGAAGTTGTGTTTGGACGTGCATTTTATTTGAAAAAAAACTTAAAGTTTTTTGAGTGGAGGAAAAAATTTCACCCAAAAACTTTCCTAAACCAACTTATTGTTTTTTGATTTTTTTTTCAAAAAATGATCATGTTCTATAAACAAACAATGTTTTCAAAATTTGTTTTGAACGGGTGCCAAATCTACATCTTTAGAAATCAAACCCATTATCTTTTCTACCAAAACCAGATCTATTGCTTTCCAGTCAAATGCCACCTTACTTTGGATGTAGATTGCAAGTCTTGGTTATCATTTCTTTTGTGTGGCATATTTTGTGCTCTTCGTATTAGAAAGTATTTAGATATGCAAAAGAATTTCGTTTTCAACCACAGTTTATTTTTTGGATGATTTCAATTTATGATTTTTTTTTTGATGTTGGAGGACATACTATGTTTGTTCCTTAGAGCAAGTTCTAGCAGGATTTGAGAGAATGTTTTTCCACAGAAGACTGCTTTATTTTATAGTTTCAGTAGTTTAAAGCTCCCTATTTTTGGAACAATGATATGTAATTTCATGTGAGCTCTTCACGAGTTGAGGAAGAGTTGGTCAAGTTTTGATCAATCTTGATCAGCTTCAAGAATCAACTAGTTTTGGTTTATACTAGGGCATATACTGTGGTTATTGTGTTATTCGTGTTGTGTAACTCCTTTCCTTCACAACACATGATTTAAGCTGTTGTTTTTTTTACATTACTTCATTGATTTTCTATTGCACTGCATGCAGCTTATGGTTTTTGAGGATTTAGAGATTTCTTCGCACAAAACAAAAAACATAGTGAACTATTTCAACCAATTGGAGAATACCAAGAAGCTTCTGCTGGTGGATGGTGGCCCAATCAGTGAAAAGCTAAAGTTGGCTACTCAGAATGTACATTATGTCAACGTGTTGCCTTCAATAGTAAGTTTCCAATTATATTAGCATCAGTGTGCATATAAGCATGTGTTTCCACAATGACCTTTGGGCTTGCACTCATGCGAGTTTGTTAAAATGACTTTGATAACATTCTTGATATTGTTATGCATAATTTGCATTTGCCACAATCCTTCATTATGCAGTTTTTTGTGCCTGCAATACGGTTAGTTAAAAATAGGGAAAGCTACACAATTTGTTTGAGTTCATCACTTGAAATGACTGCAAAAAAGCCAATCTCGTCTTCTTTGTTCCTTGGCAGGGTCTAAATGTCTACAGTATTTTGCTACATGACACGTTAGTCATGTCCCGTGATGCAGTGAATAGAATAGTTGAGAGGATGCATACTCCAATCAATCGCTAAGGGAGCATCTGAGGTTGAAAGGGAAAGATCTTTGTAGTTTTCGTCGCAGAAGACAAAGCATAGAAAATATTTGTTCTGCTGTTTTTCTAGTCAATTTAAAAAATTGTAGGTTTAGTTGTATTTCTTATCCTCCACTATTTTCCTTGAAAGTATAATGCACATCTGCATTTCATGCAAGTAATAGAGGTACTACTTGAGATTCTGTTACATGGCATAAATCCTGGTTTAGGATAATAAAACACTCCCTTCTAATGCACTTCTTGCTAACTCATGACATAGAATGCTATCTCCTTCCTTTTTTATGAATTAATATATTTTTTTTTCTGGAAAAATAAGTTGTATATGAGCTAGTCCTAATCCTTGAGCAGGGGCCACTAGATAGAAAGAGAGCAGCACAGCATTTTTGGGAAGGCATAAGCATTTGCAGGTTGCGTGCTCAAACCATTGAAATATTCCAATTAGTGATTCCTTATTCATTCTTTCTCTTACCATTGGTGGTAAATTGTCATTGATTCTTATGTAGAATTAGGTGTATTGTGCATGTCCAAACATATATGATGAATATTATTAGTTCTATCTTTGCCTTTGTACCATAAAGGCAAAATGCAATTAGCAATCGACTTTAGCTCCATCCAAGTGTGCCATGCTAGGTAGACCACAAAATTAGTCGAGGCGTACACAAACTGGTCAAGATTGGTTGGTAAGTGGACTATGGAAAGAATATAATGTTGCAATGTAGCCACAAAATTTGCAATCTCGTAAGAAGTAAACACAATATTTGGACCCAAAAACGGAAGAGAAAGAAAATGTGGTAGTAGAAGAATAACATTGACTGCCAGTGTTCAAACTCCTTTACAACATTTTAAATTGCAGGGTTCAACATACTACAAAATATCCTGTTTTCTGGCTCAGAAAAGTAATTATTGTTCAAACTATACAATCGCTAACCTAAAAATTAAATTACTCCAATCTAAGCTCATGAACTGCCTATACTAATAAGTAATAATTACATACATTGATGGTGTCCTAATATCAATAACATCAAAAAATTCTTGGATCAAGTTAAATTAAGTAGAAATATGAATAATTATTATCCTACCTAAACAACGTCGGAGAATTCTATGGTTTCACGTGAATACATATGAGGGGCTATTTCAAAATTTCAAATCCTTCTCTGTGTAAAAGGGTGGCAACAGTGCAAATGTCTTCTCTTCAATAAAGTCTTGCAAACCCCACTAAACTAAAATCTATCTTTGTCAAAATAAAAGTAAACAATAATCTTTTCTGCCCTGTCCATATGCAAGATTCTGTTTTTTTTTCTTTTTTTTTTAAACTTCTTTCTTCTGTTTGTTTTCTCTTCCTGGCCTAACAAGAAAGTGAAAGGCTTGAGAAACAAATTATAGTTCTTGTGTTCCTCCTTTACATTAGAGAACTCATTGCTTTAGTAATTGATACCCACACATACAATAGATAATACTATTAAGGATTTTTACATGTCATATCACTTATTTAAGATTATTTATATAAATAGTAGCATTCTTGGTTTATTCCAAAAATAACAGATTTATTTTCAGTTTTAGCATATTTTAAAGCTTAAACAATTAATGCCAGCAAGTTTTAGAAAAACGCCCACATATTTAGGATCAGCTTTAATATTAAAAGAAGTATTTCTACCACTTTCACCAATCTTATAGTACATTTGCAAGGAGGGGGATAAAATATTGAAACTTTAACCTCTTCTCATTCTTGCTAATAGGTGGTCACACAGATACAATTTAATATGATATCGAAATTGGTTCTTAGATCCAAGTCTAGTGCCACTCATAAACAATAAATATTTTCACTTACATAACTTAAAAATGAGTCCGTACATAATAGGATGTGTATATGGGTGGATTTCAACATTGTTTAGGGACTATAAGTTAAAAGTATCTAGGTCGATTGATTTCAACCAAAAAGCTGAAAAATATTAAAAGTACGAAGACCTTAACGAAATGTTGTTCGTCTTTTTACCCTTTAAAAATATATTTTACGTTGGATAAAATTATAAATTCAAAAAACTTTCCTACTATTTAGGAGTTCGAAATCAAATAAGTTTTGTCCAAATATAATTTCGTGTTTGATATCTTTTCCTAATAAGAAAAAAAAAATATTAAGACAATAAAAAGAATACAAAAAGTAGGAGAAAAGTTTCTTTTTCCAACAAGGGAAGCCCACGAATGTAATGTTTTTAAATTCTTTGTCCTTTAATCATACAAGACCAATTTTACCTTTTTATTTTCCTTTCTTATGAATTATTTGCTGTTTTTAAAATTTAAAGCATACATATTTCTTTAGCAGCTTTGTTGTTGAATCCGTTAGTTTCTATCTTAAAATACTACGGCAAGTATTGTTATGAACTATAATCTACCATTAGATTTTGAAATAGTAATTATTGTTGGAAGAGAAAAATATATTTGTAATAAAAATGTAATACCATAATTGAATTTTCAACATTAACTGAATTACCGAAATGCATAATCTATACTATATTAAAAGTACAAAGACCATTAGTGAAATGTCGTTCGCCTTTTATACCCTCTAAAAATAGATTTTACATTGGATAGAATTGTAATTTAAGTTATTTTACTAATATTTAGGATTTTGTAACCAACTAAAATTTGGCTTATTAAATATTTTTCTATTTAAACTATGTATATAATCTGAATATTTAGGACACTAAAATCAATTAAAAGGTTACCTTATATAGATAAAAAAACTACAACCACGATTGTTCACACGATGGTCCATGTTATTATTGGTTTAGCTTTTAATTCTAATTAAATAGTTGAAGTTTTACCCAATTTTTTAAAAATATTTTTTAGAGAGTTGAATGAGGTTGAAACCAAATTTAAATGTAGTATGTTCTATACTACGTGCACAAACATTGCTACGAAAAAAAATTAGGAATGCCGTTTTTTGGTTTTTTAATTTGGCCATTTAATTATGAGCACGCTTATAAACATGAAAAAATAAAAAATATTGATTAAAAAAAATTAGAAAAATTTACAAGAAAATTATTTTCGGTAATAATTTTCTCAAGAAAATATTTTAAAAAATATTTATAATATTCTTTTTGAATTAAATCAGACTAACTTTTAAAACATCCCAATGAAAATATAAAAACTGATTATATAAACACAAGAAAACTAACACACTAAATCTGTGAGATTTGATTGAAAAAATAAACTCTAAATATGATTTTTACATGAATTTCATATTTTTACTCCTTCTAGAATAGTATTAACACCTTATTACGGTTAGATGACTTCTTGTTTATATCTTTTTAGAATTAACATAAGAATATATAGCTTTTTGAAAATAAAAATATAATAATTTTAAATCTTCAAAGTTATATGATCTTGTTAAAACTAAAAAGATGCATAACTTGTAAAATTAAAGCAATAGAATTATAAATCGTAAATACATTTTATGTTAAATATATTGATTGAGATGATTGAGAACTCTTGTCGGACAAAGGTTCTTTCTTTTATTGAGTTGGCAAATTAGAATTAAGAATCGTCAATTTAGGAACCTAATTTTTTTTTCTTTGACATATATTTCATGATTCAATAAGAAATTTAATATAATTTTAAAAAAAATTGTATTCATTGAGATAAAAATATACGCACATCGCGCGTATCCTTAGACTAATATTATTTAATGAGTAATGACCTATCTGGAGCTCATGGAATCATCATCTTCTTTGTTAATTACTACTAATAGTATCTTTCGAGCGGCTATTACGCATGCCGCTTTATTTAGACATCATCGCTCTTTTTATACGTACAATATTTTGTTTTCTAATTTTTTTAATTAGCTCAAGATTTTGTAGTCCACTATTATTATTTAACTTATACTAGTATTAGAACCCAGCGATGCGTGAATAATTTGACAGAATATGAATCTTATAAAATTATTATCTAATATAGCATATTATTTTAATAAATATTAGTTGTTATTTTATTATTTAATGTAGTATACAGAAATATAATAAAACTAGTTATTTTGCCCGCACTTCGCGCAATTGAAATAACAAAGTGAATTTACGACAAAATCTTATTGTAAATTTAACTGAAATATAACAAATGAAAACTTTCGTATATGCATATAAATACAAAAAATTTCTCCAATTAACTCTAAAACTCTCCGTATCATCTATTCCAAAACTAATTTAGTTTAAATATTCCTAAGAAGAGAATAATTTTTGTCTGATGATTTTGAACTAATTTTTAATAGATAATGCTTCAAAATTAAAACAATCGATAATGTCCATAGACTACAAAGAAAAAAGGAACCAAATCTAACTTTATTAAATTCTTAAAATAGAAAAATAATTATAATCTAATTCATAATTACTTATCAGAAAAGGTTCGGCGTCACGAAGCTTAGCCTTAATTTCTCCAGAGTTCTTTGCTCGGAATAATACACTTCTTCCCTAATTGCTTTCAAGATTCACCTGCCTCCCCCTTTTAACTTTTCACAAAAATATTACTGATCTCATATTCCTTTTTAATCGATTGTCACCTTTTATTATGCTTAAACTTTTTGGTGAATAGGAACTATTTAATTCGATTGATAGAAGAAAAATCATGTGACGTTGAATTGGATACGGAGCAAAAATGCATAGTTCTGATCAATGAAACAAATTTTTATATGACTATGAAAAAGGTATAAAATACTTCTTCAGAGTTCAGAGAAAAGATATACAAAAATACAATACTACTACATATCTCAAAGAACCTCAACATCCAAAATGTAAGTTATCATTGTAATTGAAAGAACAATACACCTCATTTTATTAAAACATAGAGTTACTTTTTTTCCCTCACCTGCAAATCACCACCGTAACAGAACTATATGTTAGACTTAGGCCTCATCAAGGGATTCTCTTACACCCTCTTGCCTTCCCGCCACCAATATGGCAAATCTTTGTCAGTATATCTCCTTATTAATTCTTGCCATTCTCCAAAGAAAAGTTACTAACTTTCGAATTCACAAGCATATACAAATTATATAAGATTTTCGATCTCCTCCTAATATTAACCAATCATTAGGAGAAACAACTCCTCTTCCTCCAATTTCTTTTAAATTTGAGGTTGTAAGTGATATATAAGTACTCTCCATAAATAAAATACAACTAAGGCTATGAAGATTTCTTTATGTAGGCATATGTTCGAAGAAAATTATGCACTTTCATACGTAGTAAGTTGACGG